TCGTCTCTACCCGATCCTCTTCACATCCAAACAGCACCACTGACCCTCCCCCAGGTATTCTCCGCATTCCACAAAATCGTCGAACACTCTCGCGAATATGAGCCCGGCGTCCTGCGCTACATCGTCACCGTGCCAATCGACGACAAGACCGGCACAGAACTCTACATGATCGAAGAATACGCATCCCAAAAAGTGAGCGACGACCACCTCGCCACAGCGCCCGTGCAAGACCTAATCAAGCTCTTCACAACCGGCGACGTCTTAGCCGGCGCGCCCGAAGTCCACAACACGCATACCGTCGCCGAGAAGATCGCCAAGCCGCCACCGACATTAATTTCGGACCCGGCAATCCTCCTCGCGAGCATCGAGTACAAACCGGGCACGCTGGAGCATGCGCTAGAGGGGTGGAAGGAGCTTGTGGATTACGTGGAGAAGAATGAGGAGGGGACGAGGGCGTATGCGATTACGGCGGCGGAGGGAGGCAGTGAGGTTCGTGCGGTGGAGGTGTATGATAGCTGGGATTATGTGTTCAAGGTGCATGCCAAGTCTCCGGCGATGGCGGAGTGCACGAAACATAATGGGAAGGATCGGGTGGGGAGGATTGGGATTGTGCAGTTGAGGGCTGTGGATGGGTTTTTGGGACGGGAGAGGGGGGGTGCGAAGATTTGAGATGGGATGGCTATCGGGGACGAACTTGTCTTACGGTGATGTAGGTATCATTCTCGCATGAGAGAATTCAGAATCTTATGGATTCATTCTGGCCGTCCTTGCACTACTGCGCTTTCACTCCTCACTATGTACACTTTCTGCACAATGCGGCGGTGATGTGGAAGTCTCACTCGATTCACGCCTTTCACTGTCTCAGGTTGTTCACCTACTTCAACCGCAGCACTAGATCATGTCCGCACAGTCGCATAAGTACCCGTAACTCAAAATCTCTCTTAACATCAGCGCGATATCAACCCTACCACAAACCCCAAACCTACCACGACAATGGACACCTTCATTACAGGCGACCCTCCCCCGTAAGTACTATCACCCCACCTTACCTCCTCATCAATCTCATAGCAAACACTAACTTTCCCAGACCAAATGGGAACCTAGTCACCATCCGCCTACGCCCGAACCCAAAATCCTCCTTCAAAGACGGCGAAACGCTGACCATGCGCTCAAACCCACTAACCGCCACCTCGCAATTCTTCCTACACGACTTACACCGCAACTGGGCAAGCCACTCCCTCGAGCTCATCTGGCCCGATCCCGTAGCCGTCGACTCGTACTTTCGCTGGGCGCAGGACCGCATTGTGCACCGCTTTCCCCGACTTGCACCTGCACCTCGACAAGCCGATGCTAGCACTGGAGGCCCGGCTGGAAACGACAAGTACGCAGACGAGGCGTCAACGATCGAAAAGGGCGTCACCGAGGACTACGACACGCTCCTCCGCCTCAACATGCTCGGCCACCGGCTCTGGGACTCGGTGTTCCAGGACATCACGATATCGATGCTGGAGGAGAGTGTGCGGGTGCCGGGGCGCGATGTCGAGCTGTTGTTCCGCGCGCTGACGCCCGCGCTCGTGGGGTTTGTATATACGCATTCTGAGCGGACGACGAATGTGCGGAGGTTCTTGGTCGATACGATTGCGCGGTACGCGAGCCGTGAGCGTGTGGAGGGGTTTGTGATGAAACCGCTGGGAGTGTATCATCAGGTGTTTGTGGCGGATTTGGGTGAGCGTTTGGTGAGGTCCGCGCCGTTGCATGTGGTTGGGAAGGAGAAGGAGGATGGGGGTGTGGTAGGGGATCAGAGGTTGATTAGAGTGCTGCTCCCGCCGCCGCCGTACAGTGAGGGGGTTATTGGGGTGGAAGCAGAGTCCATCATGCCGTTGTATCCTAAGGTGCCTCATGATCCTGCTCTGCTGTCTGGTTGTCAGTTGCAGAGGCTGGCGGAGTGGGTCATGGGACAGGAGGTTGATGTGTGCCGATATCATTACCACGATGATGAAGGGAAATGCTGGCTGGCGTGGTTGGGTTAGAGGGTCATGATAGGCCATGTTGGATGGGCGTGGTTTGAGTGTCCAATGAACATGTATCTACACTCATTGCATCTCGGAAAGAGAGCGAGAAAGCGAGTCGAGGATACCCCAAACACCGAATCATCATCGTTATTCAATGTAAGCAATCTCCAAGTATAGGTCCTGTCACGGGTTACTGAGATAGCCTCCAGAAAAAATCTCGTGACTCACCGTTTCCTTCGCTGCTTGAAGCCAGATCAGGGACATCCGGTGATACCTTCATGGTATATCATTCGAGGCATTCCATACTCGCTTGTGCAGGGCGTAAGATGGTCTGCATGTGCGGGTATCTCGTACGATACTTCACGTCATACGACGACAACCACATATATATTTTTGTAAGCTTCATCTTCTATCCTGTCTTCTCTTCTCTTGTCAACTCCAGCTCTTCATACTTTACACATATAGCAACCAAATGCTATAGCTACTTATGCCGAAGTAGCCTACGTCACGATAGCGGGGTACGCATACCAAGTGAGGGGCAAAGGACCACATACGAGGATGGCCAGTCTGGAAATCACCAGGGCACCAACCGCGATGGCTTCCGAACTGGTCTATGTCGTAGGATGGCAAGGGGTATTGCCGGGTTGAATGGCTGGATGGACGGGGGCTCTAGGCGGAATGGCGCCGATGGTATGCGCAAAGACGAAGCTTCCATTTTCTTCAAAACTCCAGTGTTACTCCTACCAAATACATCAGTTCGGGTGCAAATCCAGATCTACATCCTCATAAAAGGTTTCATACAACTCAATTCTGCAATCTCTCATCTCCACCTTGCCCATTCCATCCTCAAAATGTCCTTCCCCCTACACCGCAACCCCCCCTTCCGCGCCGAACATCTCGGCTCCTTAAAACGCCCCCAGCACCTCCTGGACGCGCGCTACAAAGACGCGCTCCCCGCCTCGCAACTCACCCCACTCGAAGACAAAGCCATCGACGCCATCGTCAAAACGCAGCAAGACCTCGGTTTCCGCGGCATATCCGATGGCGAGTACCGGCGGCACATGTTCTGGGGCACCTTCTGGCCCTCCCTAGACGGCATGGAGGAAATCCAGAATCCGCCCCTCGACACTTTCCGCATGTATGTACCGGACATTGCGGCGTTTATGGAGACGGGGCATAAGCCTGGCGAGAGCGTGTACTGTGTCGGCAAGATCCGACATACGGGGACGTCGACGTATGTTGATCAGGTCGAGTATTTGAAGAAGCTCGTGCCGCAGGAGAGATGGGGCGATATTAAGTTGACCATGGCGGCGCCGAATTGGTATCATTTGCGGTATGTGGATGGCAAGGCGTTTCCGAAGGATGTGTATCAGAATGATGAGGAGTATTTTGAGGATGTGGCGAGGGCGTATCAGGTTGAGCTTGATATACTGTACAAAGCCGGGCTTCGGAATGTGCAGTTTGATGATCCGAATCTAGCGTGTGAGTTTGCGTTTCCTTTTCATGTCTACTTCCGAATTCTACCTTTCTCTAGGAGAAAAGAACGGCAGGAGATATATCATCGGGCGCAGAGCAGACAAGAGGAGTGCTTTCGATTCTTTCTTCAGTCTGACAGTGTAGCACTGATCATGCCTACAATCTCCTCTTTTTGCCGAGTTTCTGAACTGACACGCACCGAATCCAGACTTCTGCTCCGAGAAAATGCTCGAGGGTTGGAAGACAGATCCAAACAACACCTGCACGGCCGACGAACTCCTGACCAAGTACATAAACCTGTACAATAACTGCATCTCCAAAGCAAGTCCTCCCCTCCCTCCCTACCCACTGCCCCATTTCCCACCCAAACCAGTCCACACCACCCAACCCTTCCAACACCCATCCTTCTAACCCCTCCACTACCCCTACAGATCCCCGCCGACATGCACATCGGCATCCACCTCTGCCGAGGCAACTTCGTCAACAGCCGGCACTTTTCCGAAGGCGGGTACGACCGGATCGCGACGCACCTATTCCAGGACCTAGCGGTACACACATACTACCTAGAGTACGACACGCCGCGCGCTGGCGGTTTCGCGCCGCTCAAATACCTGCCGCAGAACAAGAATGTGGTGCTGGGCGTTGTGACGAGTAAGTTCCCGGAATTGGAGGATAAGGAGGAGATGAAGAGAAGGATTTGGGAGGCTGCGGATGTGGTGGCGCAGGGTAGTGGCGGGGGCGGGAAGACGGGCGAGGAGGGTAGGAGGCAGGCGCTTAAGAGGATGGGAGTCAGTCCGCAGTGTGGGTTTGCGAGTCATGCCGAGGGGAATTTGATTGATATTGAGGGTATGAAGAGGAAGTTGGCGTTGGTCAGGCAGATTGCGGATGAGGTGTGGCCGGGGGAGGCGTGAGCGGGTCGTTGCGGTCGGTCACTTAACCCTTTCTTTCCACCTTTGAAGACGACTCTGGGTGGGAAAAAAAGGGGCTGAGCTGGAAGTCCCCTATTGGAGCGGTATTAAAAAAAAGTGTGCAGGCGGGCGGGTACGTTTGTGCATACAAGGGAGTGGTCGTAGTATGTGGTACATTTGCAGGAGATTTATATGAATACCCAGCCAGATATAAGGGTCGTCAGTTCAACACTGATAACCCGGACATGATTTCTATTTCCCGACCCGAGATCTCTGCACCTTGCTTGGTCTCTCCCCTTCGCCTCGTCTCGTCTCGTCTCGTCATGTTTTCTATCCCATCTGTACTCTTCTTCGCTGCGTACTACTACATGATTATCCCATCTCATCTCATCCCAACCGGTCACCGCATCCCACCAGTCTAGTCTTTGTCAAACGTTCACACCGCTCCCCATCACTTCTCCCTACCGCTCCTCCGCTCTCCCCTCCCACCGCCGCCTACCCCCTCATTCACACCTCTCCTCCCTCCTCCTTTCCCCTCCCCTCCATCCCCCTAACAATCTACAAAATCCCCCTACCCACCTATTTCCTTCACATCAAATACCCATCTCTGGTAGTATAGTGGTTAGTATTCCGGCTTGTCATCCCCTTACGTGACAAAGCGCCGGCGACCTGAGTTCGATCCTCAGCCAGAGAGACACTCCATTTTCTTTTCTTTTCTTTTTTTCTTCGTTTCTTTTTAGGCTGGTTCGTGGTGTTTTTTTGTTCTTTTGTGTATAGATAGATAGATGATAGAGCTCAACCGTATACATTTCTATACATACAAACAACGAGGTCAGTTAGTTATCCACCACCATGACCTACTACCCACTTTTCCCCTTTCCACCTCCGCAACTGACTTTTCTACGGATCTCCAGGTGCAGGTGCAGATTGGCTAGCTACTTACCACACAGTGCGTAAGTAAGCAGTACTACAACCATGCATGCCGCATGCATTCGAAAGAAAGAAAGAAACATCAATAAATTCAGATAACCCACCCTAGCCGATCGACACGCTGATAAGGCGGGGATTCCCATGTACGAAGTATATAGAAACGTGCCCCTCCCTCCTAAGCCGCCCCCATAACGCAAGATAGATACATGCATGTCCCATTCAAGACGACATCACAGACCCAGAGTTCAACTACAGAAGGCAGATCGAACTAGACGGATCAAGACTGGTAGGTACTTGCTTGCCAACTCTCGTTCATGCAAAGCACAGAGAGAGAGAGAGAGAGAGAGAGAGAGAGAGAGAGAGAGAGAGAGAGAGAGAGGTCAAGGCTGCTTACTGCATGTTCAGTCCATTCAAAAGGCGACAGACAAACCGCCCTTCCATGCCAGCACACCTTGCCCTGAATTTTCCACAGATACAGTCCAGCCGTTGCACACCTGATAGCGTCCGCGAGTTCAAAAGTATGCTCGACAGACACACACCTTCGTGACCCGGACGAACGAAGCGCGAGCGTCAACAAAGTGCTTTGAAGATACGGCAACCGTGCACTCTCTCAGCATACATAGGCATCCGATATTCTACAAACAGCCAGCCCTCATACACTATACTACACATGCCGCCCCCCTCCCTCCATCTCACGTCCTAAACGCCGGCGCCACAAACCGATTCCTCAACCTCACAGGCAACACCTTCGTCACGCGCGCCACCGCCTTTTGCACCTCACTAGCATCGGCTCTAGCTTGCGCCAAAAGTTGCGCCCTCTCCAACTTCTGCTCCTCCGCCAGCGCCTCCGCCAGGGTCCTCCGCGCCTCCGCCTCGAGTTCCTCCTGGGTCACAAAGCCCCGCTGCTTCTGGACGGTGAGCTGCAGCGTGTCGTGCACAATCTGCGGGGGCCAGTGCTTGGTCGCGTGTTCGGCGTCGTACAGGTCCGCCCAGTGGCATTCGATGTTGCGCAGGGAAAAGCCGTTTGGCGAGGATCTGGGCAGGGTGGGGTGGATGCGGGCGGCGAAAGTGTTTTCGCGCTTTTTGGGAGTGCGGTCGCTGGTTGTGGGTGTGTCTTGGGCCGCGGCGGGTTGAGCTGTTTCTGCTGTGGGCGTCGGAGCCGTGTGCTTCAGTCTGTGTTCGTTGTATCTGGTCATCCTGCCCTCAAAGTCGGCGTCGATGTCCGCTTGCCGTTTGTCGAGCTCCTGCACCATGCGGCTCGCCCAGTGCATTTTTTCGATCGTCTTGCGAAAGGCGGCAATCTCTTTGTCAATGGCCTTGACCTGCTCCTTCTGGGACTGCTCGAGTGCGGCGGTGCGCTGGATGGACAGGTTGGCGATATGGGCGTCCATCTCCTTGACTTGGCCGGCGTCCACTTCCTGCGTGAGAGACCTCAACTCGGTCCATCCCGAGCGAATCGACCTGTTCCGCTCCTTGACTCTTTCTCGATACTTGTCGTACACCTCTTTCCCCATCTGCTGTTGTATGGAGAGCACGCGGGCTAGGTCGGCGGTCGCGTTGGCCCGGTAGTCCATGAGCAGCCGAATCAGCTTTCTCTTCTGCAGGAAGCCCGGCTGGTGCCAGTTCATGACCAGCAGCGGCTTCTTCGCGATGCCCGCGTTCCTCGATGTCTGCACGTCGGCCCAGTCCTCCTCCTTCATCTCCTCGACCAGCTTCGCGTTGGTCTTGTTCCAGTTGTACAGATTCAGCCGCCGCAGCTCCTGCAGCTTCTTGAGCGCATCCTGGCCCTGCTTGGCTGTGGGGAAGGGGCCGACGCGGCAATGTGGCGTCCACAGATCGTGGCGGATCTTGGGGGGGACTGAGTGTTTGCCTATGAAGGGGAGCTGTTGGAGGGTTTGTTGCTGTCGCAGCGTTAGTCGGCGTTCACTTGGGGCATGGCTGATGCCTCTGATAATCGGTTGACATGACGCACCTCTATCCGCGGGCGCAGCGTGTACAGGATCTGGTTCGTCTCAATGTTGCGGAAGATATAGATGTGCCGTCCAAACTTGTTCAGGGCCTCCCCCTTCGGCAGCAGGCCGGCCCATTCCTTGAAGTTGCCTTTGGGCAGCGGAATGTGCCGCGGCATGATGGGGGAATTGGCGTCTGCTGATGCCGCTGGATGTGTCGCGATCCCAAGGCCATGTCGGGGGAGCAGCGTCTCTGAAAAGTCGAGCTTCCTAGACGCACGGGCCTCAGCCTCTGTTGCGGAGCTGCCCCGGCTTCCGCGAACCCCAATTCCCAGGGCTCCAATGCGACAGCTCCACGACCACGTATGACCCATTCACTGCCCGCCGTTGCCACGAGACATGCGAATCGCGGACACCTTCTACCAGAATGCGCCCACACATGCCTCGTTGAGCTTCAACAGGACCCCTCAAGGCCGTCTCGCCAAATCAAGCCATTGCGGAGCTACACAGCATGGCCGGCCGTGAACAGGCCGCTGCCAGTGACCAGGAAACGTCAACACCGCGCGAGCGCCCGTGGCTGCTGCCATATGTACGTCTCGTGACGACGTCGCCGCGAAGACAAGGCTGATCAGACGCCAGAACCGCAAGCTCCGCCATCTCCAGGGCATCACCCTCCGCAACCTGACCCTCACCCCCGCCCACCAGAGATCGCGCACGCGCACCATCGATGACGAAGCGATTCCGAGCACGTTGAAGTCGCCGACCAAGGCATTGGCGCTGCGCGAAAGCAGAGGCCTGGGTCATTCGAGGTCGTCGAGCGATCTCAAGTCGAGCAAGAACACGGGCGACCGCAGCAATGGACATGCCTCGCCTACCACGTCGCCTAAGCTCCCGCAGAGGCCAAACATGGGCAAAGGCCTGCGCAGACGGAGCACCATGGACTGGACAGGCGCAAGTCCCCTGGTCAGACAGAAGAAGCTGGAAGACATTACCGCAGGCCGCATGGCAGACACCTTCTTCTCGCTGCACGTGGACGGCCAGGAAGACCCCGTGTACATTTCCGAGGTCGTCGACAAGGCCATGAACCCGAATTTTAGGTTTTTCCATCTGGGCTCCTGCGGGCCGGGCGTGACGCGGCTCGACAAGCTGACGCTCAAGGTGTGGGCCAAGACGGAGACGGCAACAGAGTGGCAGTATCTGATTCATCTCACCGTGCAGCTCAGAGCACTGCAATTCATAGGTAAGACTTTGGGCAAATTCAGGCACCCCCTTCCCCAAAACTGCATCTTGTTCCACATGACAGACGGTATTTACACCAGCTTCACCGACTTGCCCGTTGAGGAGGGAATGCGGTCCGACATTCTGGCGCCTCCCAAAGCGCATCCAGATGGCCGCGTGCTCAAGACCTCGACCTACGATGCCCTGATGCGGCTCTCGACTCTCGATGACTGCATCCAGGATGCTTTGACGACCCGTGACAGGCTTGCAGAAGAAATTGAATCGATTCTCGAGCAGAATCGAGAGGGATTCTCCACTATTGAACAGGTTCCTGAGGCTCAGGACCGGCTCAAGACGGTTGAGGCGGCGGTAGCATCCGAGAAGCGACGCGTTGAGTCTGTTCGCAGGAGGCGAGACGACTTGAAAGCGAACACGCAGTACCGCAAAGACATGATGAAGGCTGGCCGCGAACTCGAAGAGTCAATCAGCAAGGATCTGGTCGAGCAAAGGGAGCACCATGCACAGACGAAGGAGTTGATCTCCCACACCGAAGAGGACATCACAGGTCAACGAAGACGTATTTGCGAGGACCTGCAAAAGATATTTCTCATCGAGCCTATAGCAGGCAAATCGCTTGCGTTCAGTATCCGAGGACTCCCTCTACCGAATGCGGAATTTGACGACGCCAAGGAAGACGTGACAGCTGCTGCGCTTGGCCATGTCGCCCACCTCGTGTCATTGCTGTCTCCATACCTATCCGTCATACTTCCGTATCCTGTCAATTTTAGTGGCTCGACCTCAACCATCGACGATCCCCTAGCCATCAACGAGAACACGCAGAACAACCTCCGAACATACCCTCTCTTTATGAAGGGGGTGGTGAGGTATCGCTTCGAGTACGGCGTTTTTCTGCTCAACAAGAATATTGAGATCCTCTCCAACTCTCTCGGGCTGAAACCAATCGACATCCGACATACTCTGCCAAACTTGAAATATCTCCTCTTCGTCGCAACCGCGGGCAAAGGCGAGTTGCCGGCGAGGAAAGCGGGTGGTATCAGAGGTCTTCTCAGGCAAGACGGGGTATGGTCGAGAAAGGGCAGCATCGACAGCACAGCAACGGCCAGCAGCGCAGGCGGGCACCCACCAGAGCTGAAAGACCGGTTGGAGGAGATGCCGAGAAGAGATGCGGCAAGAGCAAATGGCGCGCCGGTGCATGCAAAGCCCGCTGCGCAGAAGCTCAAGACGGCGATATTACCTGGTAGTAGACTACGAGAGGTAGACTAGTCGTGTATATGTCGTTAGTAATGTGTGGTCGGGGACCTGCCACTCACGATAGGATGATCATACTACCACACATGTCCCACAACACTTGAAGTGATGTCGGTCTGCGATGATGCGTACACTTCCGAAGCAGGAAACTGCGGACGAGTGCAGGTGGTGGTAAGAGTGCCACGTGCAAGGCAATTCACACAGCCCGAAGCTCCGCCCTCGATCGCACGTCGACTCATGCAATTCCGGTACGTACGTAACGTCTATTCTCAGATGTGCACACTCCTCGCAGACGCGGTAATTTGCAGGCTCGCTTTCTCTCCCTCCT